ATTTTAGAGTCGACCCTGGGTCAGTGTACTAGGAAGTGGTCGAAGTCACGTACCCAAAAATACATTTATATTTTAAACCATGGAGAGCAAAAATAACTATTACGAAGTTAAATGCCCTAGTCGGGTTAGTTGACCAAATATAATCAAACGAGTGACCGGGATTATAAACGGACTACAGAAGATACAAAATTTTACATCAAAAATGCACATCGGAGACTTATACGAAATCTTTTTGAATTATGGCACATTTCGAAGCGTTTTAGTGCCTGGCATGGTTCGGAAACCAGTTTTTTTGGCACGTCTGTTTCTCCCGACTTAACCTTGACAGCCTCTCGCCATAAAAGATCGGAGAAGATAGTGCAGCGCAGTCTAGCTCGAAATAAATATACAGGCTAAACAAGAGAATAATTTTGCCTAATCGAGCGAACACTAGGCTATTGTTATACATTTAACCCACGATACAGTGCGGGCAGAGGGGTGGAAGAATTCGCGAAACTACTTATAAACGTGGAAACATGTCTACTTCTATTGTTCCCTAATATCATTATTTATCATTTATTTAGTATCCTCTATATAATACTTCAATAAACTATTTATTAACAATAATTTATTCCTAATTTGGTAAAGACATTACTCATACAAAATGTATCTGGAAATAAATGGTTATGTTCAGAGTTGTACTAAGATCTTTGCGACCCTTAGTAATAACTAAGTATCGAACTAAGAATTTGTATTTCGCTGAATTATTTCTTTTTCCACTTAATATTATATAAAATAAAACTCTAGATTAGTATGAAATAACATCATTTTTTAATTTTATATCTTTTTCCAGTTACCGTAAAAAATTTGTTAATCGGATTTTGGTAGTCTTTAGGTGCTTATCATCTAAATAGTTTGGCCTAGTTTTTTCGAGATTAAACGGTGTTAATGAACAACTAACAGAAAAAAAGGGATTGTTTTGACTCCTACATGCGACTCGGGCACGCGCGCGAGCGCGCGCGTGTTTTCGACTTTCAGCGAAAGTGCAACAGATTGTTTAAATCGCGGTGGCCGTTGCAGTTAACATCGTTTAGAGATACGTGCCAATATCACTAAAAATACAGGGTCCGTAGAACACGTAGAGGTCCCCGTGGCCGCTCGCGGTACGGAATTAAATCGTGATTAAAGGCGAGCGTCTGAGAACGCTCGGAAAATGGTAACCGGTGACCGAAGCGATTACATTTGTCCGATATGCTTGACGGACACGTCCCGTCATTGTGTACGCGAATAATAAATTGCTCGGGAAACCTTGCGCCAGCATGCTCGGCGTCAGTCACGAATGCAGCAAGGATAAAAAAGATTTCCTCTCTCCAATAATAACACGACTGACGCGACTGACAATAGGATACGCGGACTACGGGACGCGGGATATAAACATAATAAAAGAGGCTGCCTCCTTTTTCAATTGAACTGCATCAGTCGGCCACGCATGGGGCAACTGCACTTAATCCCTGATGCACCGTTTCTATGATATTCGTTTTATTTTAATTCTTTGCTAAATTATTTATTTTGTAGATGATAGTAGTAGTAGTAGTAGTAGTAGTAGTAGTAGTA